TCTATCTGTCTATCCGTCTATCTATCTGTCTGTCTGTCTGTCTATCCGTCTATTTATCTATCTATCCATCTGTCTATCTATCTATCTATCTATCTATCTATCTATCCGTCTATCTATCTATCTATCTATCTATCTATCTATCAAACAGACATTCATTAGGTGACAGCAATGTTCCTTACATTACGGGCACATCTGATCTGGTATTTGAACTATTATCTTGATAGCTAGTTAGATTAGTAACTAATGGCAGTTTATTACGAGAGAAACTCTGTGACTTAGGGCTCTGAAAAATCTGAAGAATCTCTGAACACAAAGAGCAATTCTGAGCCAGGCATGTGGGAAAATGTCTGATTTATAGGGTAAGTTTTATTAGAAACAAGTAACAATTCAATCACTGCTACTAGCAACATCACGTTATACATTTGTTATGAATGTGACACAGTCTCCTTGAGAACTGAGAATCCACTGAGAATTATCCTGACTACTGAAAAATCTAGCAACATTATTTTATATTCCATTATTATTTATACACTCAAATGGAATCCAAATAAAATAATACACTAATAACTATCTATCTGTCTATCTATCTATCTGTCTATTTATCTATGAATGAATGAATGACATAGTAATATTAATATTTTGATGTGTACCATAGTAATATCATGCTGTTTTAAAGAACCAATAACTTGTTGTAGATGGTAATCGTATGTTAAATGAATGATAATTGTTTTGCATCATGGTAATTGTAATTCACATCCATTGAAATTCTAGTTCAACATGCTGTAGAGTGTGGGGTTGTTTCGATTTCAATTGGAGTTCAAATCAGATTCCAATGCAACATTTTGTGGAGCTTGTAGCAAATTCACATTTCATTTCCAAATAAAATTTAAATCCAAATTCATTATTCCGATCAATTGATCCGATTATTCAGATCAATCCACATTCAAATCAGTTCCAATTCCATTTAAATTCCAATTCAGATCCATTTGAATTCAATTCAAATTCAAATACAATAAAATAAAAAATCGATTCAAATTCAAATCTATTAAAATTCCAATTCAACATTTTGAGTGTGTTGTAAATTGAATTCAAATTCTAGTTCCAATAAACCCAAATTCTAATGAACTTAATTAACATTTAATAATTTTCCTGACTGTGGGATGTTTCAGCAACATTATTATTTTATATTCTAGTATTATTTAATATGAATAGATTAATTATTATTAATAGATCATAATAATACACATATAACAATAGAATGCACATATACTAATATTATTATTAATAGATAATAATACCAATTATAGGCCTAATACACATATAACAAAAAAGCACTGATTTTTTTTTTTTTTTTGACATGCAGTAATATTTTGATGTGTACCATGGTAATGTGCTGTCATACTGCTTTGTATATATAAACCCATCGTGTAGTGTAGAAATGCAAGCTGTTGTGCCCCGGACAGCAGTAACGTTACCATACTCAGCTTACCGTACTCAATGCCGCTCAGTAAGAAGATCAGTCCTATAGTGAAGAACGTCAGTCTCCTTTTGCGTCTATAGTCCATTTTTCTCTCTTTATAACTTTTCACAGCGATTTGGACCCATTTTATCGCGGCCCGTAGCACGTAATGACCAGGACACTGCCACCAATTACTGCAGCGCTGTCAGTGCTCTCTACCGCACTGCATACTGCACACTACACACGCGTACTTCCAGCACTAATGTCGCCGGATTATTAAAGACGCAGGTCCGACTCTGAACCAGCGGCGCTGTAATCTAATGCAGACCGTCAGCAGCACACAGCATGCCAGTCCTGTGAATGAATGAATGACATAGTAATATTAATATTTTGATGTGTACCATAGTAATATCATGCTGTTTTAGAGAACCAATAACTTGTTGTAGATGGTAATCGTATGTTAAATGAATGATAATTGTTTTGTATCATGGTAATTGTAATTCACATCCATTGAAATTCTAGTTCAACATGCTGTAGAGTGTGGGGTTGTTTCGATTTCAATTGGAGTTCAAATCAGATTCCAATGCAACATTTTGTGGAGCTTGTAGCAAATTCACATTTCATTTCCAAATAAAATTTAAATCCAAATTCATTATTCCGATCAATTGATCCGATTATTCAGATCAATCCACATTCAAATCAGTTCCAATTCCATTTAAATTCCAATTCAGATCCATTCCAATTCTGCGTTTTGACTGACTTTTGAAAAAATCTGAATTGCGAGATGTAAACTCACAAATGCAAGATAAAAGAAGTCAGAATTGTGAGATAAAAACTCGCCGTTGCACTTTTTCTCTTTGATTCAGTGGCAGAAACAGCTTCCATAAGCATCTTTCTCCGACCACTTACCCAAACAGGAGGAAAAATGAGCTTCAGGCCCTGACTGTTTGTTTCTCATTCAAGGAAAGTGCCAGTACTCTGAATCATAATGTCAAATTCTCTCCTATGCGACAGTATAGAGATAGTCAGGGGTTAAATATTACGTTCAGGCCCCTCGTCTGACTGCAGACTTGAGCCACTGAGACGTCTTGTGATTCCACTCCACTCCTCACACTGCAAACACTGTTGCACACACTGCCACACTTATGTCGTTTCAATCACATTAAACTGGATTCCCATTTATGCTGGGACACGATCTTTGCTGTTTTTCTTAACCTGTTTTTTTTTGTATTTGTTTAAATGCACAGGATGCAATTACTACATGCATGCACTTTTCCCCAAGCCTCCCTCATCTGAGACAGCATTCAGACTCGTCTCCACTACTTTTGAAAATAGGCTTATTTTCCAACTCCCCTAGAGTTAAACAGTTGAGTTTTACCATTTTCGAATCCATTCAGCCGATCTCCGCTTTTAGCTTAGCTTAGCATAGATCATTGAATCTGATTAGACCGTTAGCATCTCGCTCAAAAATGACCAGAGTTTCTTTTCTATGCACCCATGGTACGGCAGCAAAGCTCCTTGATTATTACGCCGAAATGAGAGTACAGTTCCTAGCCATATCGGCCTAGAAAAATCACAACTTTTCATTTCCGTCTGTCTTAGTACACGATGTAACTACAGAAGAGTCATAGAGTTTCTTTTCTATGCACCCATGGTACGGCAGCAAAGCTCCTTGATTATTACGCCGAAATGAGAGTACAGTTCCTAGCCATATCGGCCTAGAAAAATCACAACTTTTCATTTCCGTCTGTCTTAGTACACGATGTAACTACAGAAGAGTCACGTTTTAAATAGGAAAAATATAGAAACTCTTCATTTTTGAGCGAGATGCTAACGGTCTAATCAGATTCAATGATCTATGCTAAGCTACAGCTAAAAGTGCTACCGCCAGACC